TACGTACCCTCTCAGGAGGACAATAATTTCACGCTACGTCAACCCCCTTCGAAGGTACAGACTGGAAATGATATGGCCGCTACATTGATCTGCGTTCTACCGATGAAATGCCGTACCGCAGCTTACACGACAATGTTGGACATCCAGGTAGAGATAGAACTGTAGCACTTTTAAGTGATAGATTCTACTGGCCTGCGATGTCAAATGATGTTGAAGAACACTTGTAAGGATGTGAACGCTGTCTTGGAAGGTAAACACCACCAAGCCGAGCTCCAATGGTAAACATCCAGACATCAGCACCTTTGGAACTTGTATGTATGGATTTCTTGACGCTGGAACCGTCAACAGATGGATTGGAGCATGTTTTAGTTGTAACTGACCACTTTACCAGATATGCCCAAGCATACCCAACAAAAAACATGTCAGCCAAAACAACTGCTGATACTTTCTTTACCAATTTTGTTGTTTACTATGGACTACCAAGGCGGATCCATTCAGATCAAGGAGTTAATTTCACAGGTAAAGTGGGGCAGAAACTGTGCCAACAGACTCGTCACCTGAGAACCAGAGCGTTCTATCTCCACTTTTTGGAAAAAATGAGTTAAGGTTTTCTGGGTACTTCTCATTGTGTATTCTATCTCCAAATAAAATTGTGTAGCTGTATCTGGCTTAGAAAGTGGTTTTAAGACAATTAACATCAGTTCTATCTCCACAAATTAAAAAGGTTTTCAGTTCCATACTGTTCTATGTCCCTAACTAATCAAAACGGTCGATTTGGTCACATGACTTGGAGATAGGACAATCTGGACCTGAACTTTCGTCGGATGTCACATGGAAATGGTGAGTATTTATCTTCACTTTTTCATTGTAACTCTTGTTTTCTCGAATGGATGAAAGTGTGCAATAAGTGATAATTAACCCTTGACATCCCAATATATTAATTTGAAATGTAACAATTGATAATTTTGGAGTAAAGGCACTATTTGAAGTTTGACATGGAGATAGAATACTCTGGTTCTAAGAGTATGTCATGTTTTCCTACTATGTTTGTTGGACATAGAACGTTTTTCAATATCACATATTTTTCATCTTTTCAGTGTTCCTGATGCAGTGAAATGTTACCAAGGTTACCTGAGGAAATCATCATTGACATTCTAAGCTATGTACCTTTCAAAGAACTACTATTGAATGTGTGCCAATATCTGCATCATCTTATCCTGAATTCACAAAAGATTTGGAAAGACACAGAATTCTATGGCCTGAAATTAACATTTAAACAGCTGCATGGTCTCCTCTCTCGGTCCCATTACTTTTGGTATTTACAGATACCTTTTACGGAAGTTGAAGGCCCAGTGTCCGTCACTTATTATATTTTCATAACCGGATTTCTTCAAACTGACAAAATATGATGGTTAAACATAAGAGAGATGAACGTTTCTACTCTTGGATTTCTACTCTTGGAGTTTACCCAACCTTGAACTGTTAAATGATGAACACTGCAAATATCTATGTGATGAAGATTTTATCATCATCAAAGCATGTGAAAACCTGGAACATCTGAATGTGAGGCTCACTCATGTCAGTCCGAACACCTTAACAGAAATATTTCAAAAGACAAAGAGTTGTTTCAATTTGGAAGCATTTGGAGTCAATTCAATTTGGATAACTGCATTGAATTGTTAAGCTTTGCTTATTTCTATTCCCTGACATTTTTTGGCCTGAGTCTGGACGATTCCTTCAGTGAAGCGGACTTTAATTACTATATTGAACAGGAATTTGTTGATTGCCAATACAGAATAAAAAACTGAGTCTTGTCTGAAATTCTTGAACTGGATCAAGTTCTAGCGTTGGAAACAGAAAATGAAGATCATGATTCTGATGATAATGATAATGTTTTTAAGGTACAACCGGTCATTAATATGGGCAATGATGGCAATGCAGTGTCTTCTGATCAGACCAAGAATGCATGTAATCCATCAATCCAAACAACAGAAATTCACGTTTCTCAAATTGTTGAAGTTTCGACTCCACACATAAATGAATCAAATCCTGCAGATCATGAGGAGTTGATTGAGCCCTCAAGATCCCGACAACGTTTTACTTGTCCTAGAGCGAATACATCAAGCTTCTTTTACCGCAGAAAACTTGCTGTGTACAACCTTACGGCACATAGTACGATATGACCTATTGCATACTGTGCAGTTTGGCATGAGAAACTTGCAGGAAAAGGAACCAATGAACTAGCAAGTGCTCTTTGTGCTATTCTTGCTCAACTCAGTCGTGTCTCAGTGCGTCCTCAAGAACAGGATATGAGGAGGATGTCGTCTCCACCTAGAGGAGCTTGTGTTGAAAATTGGCCGACAGTCAAACCCTGTTCCACAAAACATGAACTGCCCAAGGACAAAGCTGCAGACCTCAGATCTATGTTGAAATTCATAACCTCAACAGATCTCATAGGATAAACTCATTCAAGAACATGTTTGATGTTCATGCTTTAGGGACATGTCTGATATGTCTTGTAACTCAATGGTAAAGTCCTTTAAACCTGTTTCAAGTTTTGAAGTTGTTTAAGAGATTGTTTGTTTTTGATACCACAAAACTGAGTGTCTTTACTTAAACAATACAACAGTGATCCATGACATCAATTTGTGTCTGATGTGTTTAGTGAGTTCATTGTTCTAGTTTATACCTGTTCCAAGTTTTGAAACTTTTAAGAGATTATTTGATGTTGATTTATTAGGGATATGCTCTTATCATAAACACATGGCTACATCCAATTAATCAATAAGATGATAATCAGCACATCCAGTCTTAATTATACATTACAATCTAAGTTTGATTCTCAATATCAATATTTTAACTTTGCTGTACTAGTTCTAGTTCATAATTGTTTGATGATTGCCAAATGTTCCCTGTTCACCGAGTTCTTATATATTCCCATATGTTTAAAGGAAATCACCATAAAATATCAATGACCAGCATACTTTTGGTTTGAAATAGCAAAATTACATGTCGGTTTAAAGCCTATGCACTCATGCATGGAAATCAGAAAAATAGCATTACTGAAAGTGTTGTTTTGAAAATAAAGGTATTTTCATAATCATTTCTCTTATTTCTGTTTTTTGAAAGAAGAAAATTCAAAATTTAAGATATATACGTACATTTTCGGAGCTATGTCAGTATTTTATGGATATAGGACACTTTGGAACTGAACAAAACAGCGTTTGATTTTAGATATTTGTTCTGTCTCCAAACACCTTTTTCTTATTTATAGGTTAACTCTAAATTTTGGATCATTAAAACATGGTTCTATAGTTTCAGAATGACAACATGCACCTACATGCAAAGTTACAAACAGTTTCCTTGGGAAATATTCATTTTACACATACTTCAATTTTTGGGACTCCGTATCTCGAAACCAAGTTTTGGTTCTCAGGCGACTGTGCCAACTGTTGAAAATTGGGAAGTCCCAAACCACGCCGTATCATCCCAAGAGTAAAGGTATGTTATGTGCGAACGCTTCATTTGTACTCTAACCTGAGATGCACGATAAATCTTGTAAAGTAACACTTGGCATATATCTTGTAATGTCAGTGAGTGAGCAATATCAGCAAAATGTAGCAATATGTAGCAATATCAGCAATATGTAGAAATATGTAGCAATATCAGCAATATGCAGCAATATCAGCAATATGTAGCAATATCAGCAATATGTAGCAATATCAGCAATATGTAGAAATATGTAGCAATATGTAGCAATATCAGCAATATGTAGAAATATGTAGCAATATCAGCAATATGCAGCAATATCAGCAATATGTAGCAATATCAGCAATATGTAGCAATATCAGCAATATGCAGCAATATCAGCAATATGCAGCAATATCAGCAATATCAGCAATATGTAGCAATATCAGCAATATCAGCAATATCAGCAATATGCAGCAATATCAGCATATGTAGCAATATGTAGCAATATCAGCAATGTCACGACAGGGCACGCCAGAAATGGGGTTTAAACATTGGACCCAGGTGGGGAATCAAACCTGGGTCTTTAGCGAGACGGGGAGAAGCTTAAGCCATTATGCGTGAGTGAGTGAGTTAATATTTAACCTCACATCGGCAATATTTCAGCCATATCGTGACGAGAACAATTTAATTTATATCAACATTAAAATCAATACATTTAGAACATAAAAATCTGTCATCGAAGGACAGTAAAACTACCAGAGAATCACAGCTCTCAATCTAAGCCATTATGCTACCCTACCGCCCGATGTAATGTATGCATGGGATATATCCTGGACAGTAATACATAAAGGACTCTGATAAGTATTATATCATAAAAGTAGGAGGAGGTTTATTTTGGGGTTCAACTACAAGAACATGCACCAATGTCTATTTTGTTGGGTTGAGTCAGGCACCTAATCGCTGCACACAAAGTCAGCCGACTACCCATTGAGGAACCGCGGCTTCCACAATAATGGAAGTCGGACAAATGGTAGTCTAGACCAAGGACTTTGTGCACCCCTCTGATAAGTGTCAATTGCACAACTTCCGCGGCCGAACGCTCTGAATACCCCTTTGTGGAGTCAACCCAACGAAAGTACTAGAATCTGTACTTCACTGAGAAAGTGTAATCCCATTCATAAGATGCTTTTAGCAGAGATTTCTGATGAATGTGTGAGGGTTGATTCGCTTCTAACTGAAGATATTTGATGTTACTTTAATAGATTCGATACACAGAACAGTGTTGTGCTTACTGAGTACTTGGCACTGGATGTCCCTCTCATGTAGTTATCAGCCATGTCGGTTATTATGCCATCTGTACGCACAATACTGGTGGAGCATGTGTTTCCCCGAGCTGGCATTCCGCCAAACACTTGTGTCGGGCAATATTAACGCCGTTTACCTTGCGGCGAGGTAGTCGTCTTCCTAGCTGCGTGGTGCCTTTACACTTGTAAAATGGAGCTATCAACACTTACTTTCTTTTCTCTCGTTCTGTGTAGTATAACAGACGTACATGCTGGTGCCAGGCGTAAAGCCTTGGTTAAACGGGTGGGCCTGATGGAAGAGGAGATCAATTTATTGAAACATACAACTGTTACTGAGACTAAAATGATTGAAAACTTTGAAGAGTTGAAGTCGTCACTGAAAGAAGAACTGACCAAAACATTCGTTCCTCCCTTGATCAAGCGCTTAGTCAAACAAGCTATTGCCGACATCATGAAAGAAGACTACATTGGGAATATCATCAGCGCACATATGGTCAATGAAGTTCAAAGCCTAAAAGCCAATGTAGAAAACACAACGACACAGCTTAATGTAGTAACACAAGAGTTGAGATATGTCCAACGGGAAAGAGACATTTACAGAGAAAGTCTCGAAAGAGCACATGGCGAGTTGACCAAAGACATCCTTGCATTACAGATGCAGCTGACTGGCCTTACGGAGGACTTGATGACACTGAATATGACTTGTTGTTGGACGAGGAAAGAGATTAAAGAGGATGATGTTAATCAAAGTTCGCTGACAACATCGTCGTTGTCACAGGTGTTATTCACGACTTCGGCCACGACGTATCCTGGAACTACATCAGGTGAGAGTTTTAGTAAAGAGTAGTTGCTTAATTAACATTCTGTCTTGATATTCCAACCTGAAGATATGAGAATACCATTATTATTTCGTTTTTATTACTCTCCCGTGGAAGATACTGCAGTGTAATATTTTTCCGTCAATAATGCACTGGTGTAATACCGCTAGACGTATGACGTCATAATGGTTTACAGTTATGACATCACAATGTTAATACCTCTGTCACAATGGTATTAGTCCTTGCTTGACTCGCGGAAAGCTGAAAGTCATCACACTGTAGGCAGTTTCTATCAATTTATGTTGGAGAGTAATAAACAGAATAATATACTCGCTTTCGCTCGTTTGATACCAAATCATTAACTCGTTTAATAACAATGGTTTTACACGGAAGGTCGTTTAGTATCCTCTATGAATTTAGCCAATGTTTTTACAGTCATCTTGCATACATGCTTAAAGTGCGTCCTCTGCTTTTGAAACTATGTCGGAGGTCAAATTTCTGTGTTTCTATTGTGGAAACCTTTCTTTTCCGAATGTGGCAGTGTTAAACTACCCTGATTTCAAATGCTTATATTTACAGTTTGCGTACACATAGGCTATTACTTTGTCATTACAGGACATTTCAACATAGGGTTTATTGGGAATGGCAACATAATGTTTATTAGGCATGGCAACATAATGTTGATTGGACACACATGTATATTTTATTGGATATTTGTACATATAGCCTATTGGGTATTAACGTAGATACAATCAACGTAGATTGTATTGGGCATGTGAACGTGAGGTTAACATGTCATGCCAGTGGTGCATGTCCTGCATAGAGTTTATTGGGCATGTCAACATGGGCACAACCGAGGGTTTGGAAGGCATGTGAACGTTCGGTTGGCAGGTAATAACAACATAGGGCTTACAATAAACATTGACACACATGATTTAGAGGTTTCCATGCGTCTTTTGTACATATTTTGTATCTGGAACACAGAGAGAAATTTCAGCTGAACTGTTGCTGTATGTGACAGACAGTGGGAGATAGTCGAGAGACAGTGGGAAATAGTCGACAGACAGTGGGAGACAAACGAAACACAGTAGGAGACAGGCGATAGACAATGGGAGACAGTCGACAGACAGAGAGGGACATTCGACAGACAGAGGGGGACAGTCGAAATACAGTAGGAGACAGTCGATAGACAGACAGTGGGAGACATCGACAGGCAGACAGTAGGAGACAGTCGAAAGACAGTTGGGGAAAGTCGACAGACAGCTGGGGACAGTCGACAGACAGTCGACTGAAAGTGGGAGACAGTCGACAGACGGTGGGAAACTAGCGACAGGCAGTGGGAGACATCGACAGAAAGACAGTAGGAGAGAGTCGACAGAAAGTGGGAGACAGTCGACAGACAGAGTGGGACAGTCGACAGACAGTAGGAGACAGCCGATAGACAGACAGTGGGAGACATCGACAGGCAGACAATAGGAGAGAGTCGACAGACAGAGGGGGACAGTCGACTGACAGTGGGAGACTGTCGACAGACAGTGGGAAACAGTCGACAGGCAGTGGGAGACAGGCGAGAGACAGTGGGAGACAGACAGCCTACAAAAAGACAGTGGGAGACAGTAGGAGGCATTCGACAGAGAGACAGTTGGGGGCAGTTGACAGACAGTGGGAGACAGGCGAGAGACAGTGGGAAACAGGTGACAGGCAGTGGGAGACAGACAGCATACAAAAAGACAATGGGAGACAGTAGAGAGACAGTGGGCGAGACAACAGACAAGGGGGGGGGGGGGCAAGCGACAGAGAGTGGGAGACAAACGACATTCAGTAGGAGACTGTCGAAAGACAGTGGGAGACAGTCGACAGCCAGTACGTGACAGTCGATTGACAGTCAGTGGGAGACAGTCGACAGGCAGCCAGTAGGAGACAGTCGACAGGGAGACAGTAGGAGACAGTCGCCGGACAGTGGGAGACAGTCGACAGACAGTGGGAAAGAGGCGACAGGCAGTGGGAGACAGGCGACAGACAGTGGGAGACAGTCGACAAAGAGGCGGTAGGAGACAGTCGACAGACAGAGGGAAACAGTCGAGTGACAGACAATGGGTGACAGTCGACAGGCTGACAGTAGGAGTAAGCCGATAGACAGGCAGTGGGAGACAGGCGACAGAAATAAAATGGGAGACAGTCGACAGACAGTGGGAAACAGGCGAAAGGCAGTGGGAAACAGGAGGAAGGCAGTGGGAGACAGTCGACAGAAATACAATGGGAGACAGTCGACAGACAGTGTGAAACAGGCGGGAGACAGTCGACAGAAATACAATGGGAGGCAGTCGACAGGCAGTGGGAAACAGGAGGGGAAGGCAGTGGGAGACAGGCGAGAGACAGTGGGAGACAGGCGACAGGCAATGGGAAACAGGAGGAAGGCAGGAGTCGACAGAAATACAATGGGAGACAGTCGATTGACAGTGGGAGACAGTCGACAGACAGCGATAAACAGGCGACAGGCAGTGGGAGACAGGCGGGAGACAGTGGGAGACAGTCGACAGAAATACAATGGGAGACAGGCGAGAGACAGTGGGAGAAAGTCGACAGACAGTGAGAAACAGGCGACAGGCAGTGGGAGACCCTGTGAGTTTTAAGATACCCCAAATCAACTATCAACTGTACTGAGAAACAGATTTTAAGTGTCTGCAATATATATGATTATATCACAATATATATGATGTCTGTTTGAGAGGCTGAGTAGCACATGTCTGTCACAGTGTACGCAGACAGTGGTCCCCCCTGCGGGTCATTTATGACTTCTAGTGCCCCTGGTCCCCATCTAGGACATTTATGACTTCTAGTGCCCCTGGTCCCCATCTAGGACATTTGTGACGTCTTGTGCCCCTGCTCCCCACAGAGGACATTTGTGACTTCTAGTGCCCCTGGTCCCCATCTAGGACACTTGTGACTTCTTGTGCCCCTGGTCCCAATCTGGGACATTTGTGACTTCTTGTGCCCCTGGTTCCCATCTCGGACATTTGTGACTTCTTGTGCCCCTTGTCCCCATCTAGGACATTTGTGACTTCTAGTGCCCTTGGTCCCGATCTGGGACATTTGTGACTTCTAGTGCCCCTGGTACCCATCTAGGACATTTGTGACTTCTTGTGCCCCTGGTCCCCACATAGGACATTTGTGACTTCTTGTGCCCCTGGTCCCCATCTGGGACATTTGTGACTTCTAGTGCCCCTGGTCCCAATCTCGGACATTTGTGACTTCTTGGGAACCTGGTCCCGATCTGGGACATTTGTGACTTCTTGTGCCCCTGGTCCCCATCTCGGACATTTGTGACTTCTAGTGCCCCTGGTCCCCATCTGGGACATTTGTTACTTCTAGTGCCCCTGGTCCCCATCTAGGACATGTGTAACTTCTTGTGCCCCTGGTCCCCATCTAGGACATTTGTTACTTCTAGTGCCCCTGGTCCCCATCTAGGACATGTGTGACTTCTTGTGTCCCTGATTACCATGCAGGACATTTGTGACTTTTTGTGCCCCTGGTCCCCATCTAGGACATTTGTGACTTCTTGTGCCCCTGGTCCCGATCTGGGACATTTGTGACTTCTTGTGCCCCTGGTCCCCACATAGGACATTTGTGACTTCTAGTGCCCCTGGTCCCCATCTGGGACATTTGTGACTTCTTGTGCCCCTGGTCCCCATCTAGGACATTTGTGACTTCTAGTGCCCTTGGTCCCGATCTGGGACATTTGTGACTTCTAGTGCCCCTGGTCCCGATCTGGGACATTTGTGACTTCTAGTGCCCTTGGTCCCCACATAGGACATTTGTGACTTCTAGTGCCCCTGGTCCCCATCTAGGACATTTGTGACTTCTAGTGTCCCTGATTACCATGTGGGACATTTGTGACTTCTTGTGCCCCTGGTCCCCATCTAGGACATTTGTGACTTCTAGTGCCCCTGGTCCCCATTTAGGACATTTGTGACTTCTTGTGCCCCTGGTCCCGATCTAGGACATTTGTGACTTCTTGTGAACCTGGTCCCGATCTGGGACATTTGTGACTTCTTGTGCCCCTGGTCCCCATCTCGGACATTTGTGACTTCTAGTGCCCCTGATTACCATGCAGGACATTTGTGACTTCTAGTGCCCTTTGTCCCCATCTATGACATTTGTGACTTCTAGTGCCCCTGGTCCCCATCTGGGACATTTGTAACTTCTAGTGCCCCTGGTACCCATCTAGGACATTTGTGACTTCTTGTGCCCCTGGTCCCCATCTAGGACATTTGTGACTTCTTGTGCCCCTGGTCCCCATCTGGGACATTTGTGACTTCTAGTGCCCCTAGTCCCCATCTCGGACATGTGTGACTTCTTGTGCCCCTGGTCCCCATCTCGGACATTTGTGACTTCTTGTGCCCCTGGTCCCCATCTCGGACATTTGTGACTTCTAGTGCCCCTGGTCCCCATCTAGGACATTTGTGACTTCTTGTGCCCCTGGTCACTATGCGGGACATTTGTGACTCATTGTGCCCCTGGTTACCACGCGGCACATTTGTGACTTCTGGGGCCCCTGATTACCTTGCAGGACATTTGTGACTTCTAGTGCCCCTGGTCCCCATCTAGGACATTTGTGACTTCTTGTGCCCCTGGTCCCCATCTGGGACATTTGTGACTTTTAGTGCCCCTGGTCCCCATCTGGGACATTTGTGACTTCTTGTGCCCCTGGTGACCATGCGTGCACATTTGTGACTTCTAGGGCCCCTGATTACCTTGCAGGACATTTGTGACTTCTTGTGAACCTGGTCCCGATCTGGGACATTTGTGACTTCTTGTGCCCCTGGTCCCCATCTCGGACATTTGTGACTTCTAGTGCCCCTGATTACCATGCAGGACATTTGTGACTTCTAGTGCCCTTGGTCCCCATCTATGACATTTGTGACTTCTTGTGCCCCTGGTCACTATGCGGGACATTTGTGACTCATTGTGCCCCTGGTTACCACGCGGCACCTTTGTGACTTCTAGTGCCCATGGTGACCATGCGTGACATTTGTGACTTCTTGTGCCCCTGGTCACTATCTCTCGGAATGCTGACATTATGTGAGTGCTTTACGGAGTTTGCCTGACATTGAGTCAAGTTACCCCGTTGCCCTTCACACAGCGTAATAATGATGCCAAATATTTTACCTGTTTCAGCCTCGACGACTGACCCGAGTCAGGGTCCGAGCCCGAGCAAGACGGTTCCGCCAGTGCCAGTGACGACACAATACACTGATCTACAAGGTAGGTGGGAAAACCCAGCAGGCAGGAAGCTAAATCCTTAAGTCTTCCTGCATTTAACAGACTGATGTAATGTCCGAAAGAGACGATACCACGTGTTGGAAAGGACATTAAGGAAAAACAAAAGGATACTGAAATTTTAAATTGATCTATTTGATTTGAGATTTTGTTCAATAATATGTGTACAAAAAGTCATTTCAGTCAACCCTTTAGAATCATTTGGGCACACCAGTAAAATCGAGAAAGGTCCAAAATAAAAATTTCATTCAAACACATATGACGTTGTAATATGTTGCTTTCCTCTGATAAACGCCAGTCAAGGCATTTGCTTCACACAATGTTTACACCCAGGCGTTTGTTTAGCCTGTCACCGGTCAGGATGAAGAAAGGTCTGGGTAAACAACGCAGCGTTTCAACCGATAGGCTTGTTATATTTGATCAATTATGTGCTTGTAAGCTTCATCCTTTGAACTGATAACTGCTCTACCTTTATGTGGAACACATTTCTGTCACATTTTAAAAACATGCAGACTAATGTTTCTAATATTGAAACAGACGCAGAATGTTAATCACTCGGACAGCCGACATTTCGATCTTTACCACCACACACAGCCACTGTGTTTCTACCCTTGTTGTTTATCAAAGTACATTGCTTCCAACAACAAGTACGGCTGTGTCAGCTACAGTTTCCGCCTCAGACAGTAGTTGTGTGAGAATTGCACTGCCGCCATCTCAATATGCTGACATTTTGTGAATGTTTGCCTGACACTTAATTACAACTGTGTTGCACAATCACCGAGTCAAGTTACCATGTTGCCCGTGAAACTGCGTGAGGAACACTGATGATTTTATATGCTTCACATTAGAATTGACAGAATTGCCGAACATACCATGTACACTAAACGGGGAGGGTGGGGTTGAGACATCAAGGAAAGACATTTTGAATGGGCGATCACTCTTCCTTTGAAATGATGTAAGCGATGGTCCAAACTTCCTGCTTCCGGTCTGGTTCCGGACTCAATGTACGCTGCGGACACTTGCTACATGTAAAGACAGAGCCCAGTGTAAGCGTTGCCTTCCGACGAAAAACCTTTAGCTGACAGATGTTTTGCGATGACTTTTAGTTTAGAAAAGCATCGTTTGTTTAATGCCCAAGTGCAATACGAATTGAAACGATAGAAGATAACGGGGAATAGGTCATGAAAAATCGGCTTATTGTCACGGCATATCCTACGACAGAACACGAGACAGTATATGTCTCGGGCGGCATAGCATCTATGTCATAGTCGGATCTTGAGTGTGTGCGTGCGTGTGTGCGTGTGTTTGTTGGGGTGCAGTCAGTGCTGTGAATCATTACATATGTTATTCTATTTATCCAATTCTTACAAAAGTTTAACACCATTTAAAGCTCTTGAAATATGTAGTCATTTACAGAGATTTGTCTCAACAAACAACAGATCATTCTGACCACCCAAGGGGATGTATATGATAGAATTACATGACATAATATATGCATCTTCTTTATTTGGTAACATTATGTTGACAAAATATTCGATATGACAGACCATATACTGTTAAGGATAAAAATGTATTTGTTTTTTTACCGGTAAACTGATCCGAGTTTTGTTGATGTTGCCGCCGTTAGGATCCGGATTTTAAGTGATCCCGGCCGGTAGTTTTGATCCGGGCGACTGAGGTCGACTAGAGCACATGGCTGGTGTCACTGCGGTGATTCATTTTATGTAGAGGTGCAAGGGGTCAAGAAATTTTGTAAGTAGTTGATGATTTTATTTATATTGATGGACATTGTTGATAGGGTCACAAAGCGTGTTAAGTTTGATGCATTTATATGAGTTTGGAATAATTTCAGTTTTGTCATGTCAGGCACGTGGGTTCGTGTTTCATATTTTCGTTATAGTTACAGATACATTGAATTAATCTGAGTGGCCATAATATTGATTTAGCATTGGAAATTGTTCAGCTGAATTTAATTATTTGTTTGTTTTATTTATACAGTTTGAACCGTATCAAATTCAATTCTACCTACGCTGCGGCGTCTTGTAGAGAGTCTGCAGACAATAAACCAATAACGTACGTGTTCAAGATAAAGGCCCAACTATGTTTTAACCTCTGCAATATATACTATCCAGCTATAGCTTTTTATTCTGATTTTCATTCAACAGTTCTGAAAGTAAACTTTAGCCTTAAATCTGTTTATTAGGAATTAGCACAGAAAATGTGTTTAATATCAAACATGTTTTGATGACTAAGTTCGAATTTAACCCGACAATCATTTCATGTGGACCTCATGCATTTATTTATATTCGTACCAATTTAACAGATAATACTTATGTACAATGACTGAATAAAGTCATGCATGTGTCATGTTATATTAAAGTACACACAAACCATCATATAAAAATACCAGATAAAATTACAACATTGTACAATGCAGATATCTATTGATGTAGAGAGGAAAAAGATACTGACTTTATTAATTGATATGTGTCAGAATTTGAAAAATCAGTGTAATGCAAGGAAACATAAAAGCTGGGTCTAAAAATATAATATGAGCATTTTCATGACTATTATAATCATCTGATTATTGTGAAGGTAACCTGTATGTATACGCTGCAGTAAAGTGTAAACCAGTTGATGTTTACAACACTTAACAGTGCCATCTATTGTATAGATAGAAGTTTATTGCTATGTGTGTGTGTGTGTGTATAATTCTTATGATGAAAACTTGAATTTAGAAAGTGCCTTTGAATATGTAATTACCCTAGTATAGCTTCTTCTGTGTCCGAAATATTACATTTTATAAATGAATATTTTAATATTAATTCCTTCTATTCAATTTAAAAAACAAATATATTAATATATATCCTTAATTCAGGATAATTAAAATGCAGTCATTGTATAAATGTGCACTATATATCCACCCTTTATCCACTCGGTCATTATATATACCATGGACCATAAACCCTTACAGATTTAAAAAAGTAGATTTCAGTTATGCCCATGTTTAACATTCTAGCCATCGTATTTGAACATCGGCTACATGTAGGTGATGATAGACATAATTCGTCCTTCACAGTTATTTTACAATTACCTGACCAGTTTCTTTCACTTCTCTATATACCTGCTAAATGTACTATTCCAAAAAAGAAACGCATGACCCAGAAATCTGTTGCGAAAATGTTGTTTTTTCAAACATGTATAACTCGTCCACAAATAGACTTTAAGAAATGAATTTTACAGCAGTTTAGAAGAAGGCAATGTCTATTCAACCAAGTGGATAATATTAGATAACGAAGACGTTGAGCGCGATGGTGACCACGTAGCATGGTCTCCTGGCTCTCAGCCCAATCTCCCTCAACCTCCTCCGTATCTGTTTCCACCAAGGTCCAGGCACTCTGGCTGCTGTGCTCTCACACGTGGCAGTACGGTCACGTAAATGTAGTACCGGGATGTACCGATCTCGGGCTGCAGTGGTCTGCAGAGGTCGGCCTGTACGGGGACGGTAATAAAAAAAATACCTGTTTGGTTGTAACGAGCTGTAAGCAGTGATATCGTGCTCAGACTAACATTCAGACGCCTGGCAAATGAAAATTGCGAATCTCCAGCGTGCATTCTTTCAATGGCGATGTTCCGTGTCGCAGCGTCAAGACTTGGCGTAGTGATTTGACCTTGAAACTTCTTCAAAACGGATGCCGATTCCCGAAAGTAATCTGTTTTTATAGCCAGAAAGTGCATGCTGTTTGCTGCAAAATTTCATCTGGAAGGTGATTTCTGTTGCGTTGTGGGCGATGCCGTTTCAATTCTTGTAAGAAATCTCATCAAAATCATCATTTTCAGGTAAAGTCGACTTTTCACTTGTGCAATTGTGTAGAATCATGTTATCAACACTGTGTTACATATTTTGACGTTTTGTTTGAACACAATAGGTAATTAATAGAGTTTTTAAAAATACAAAAGGCCTATGCGTTTCTTTTTGGGGATAGTATATTTGTGTTGTTAAAAATCTCATATGCACGACCAAACGTTGCATAACACGACTTTCTTATTTCGGGCACCGCATCAGCTCCCTGCCGTACTGAATTACATGAATGCAGTCTAATCGGCGTAATTCGATAGAGATTAGTAATCTCATTCAGGTGCATCCTACAAAGCCTCCAGCATTTCTTAAAATGTGCCTCTGGAATGCTCAGTCATCCAGAAACAAACCTATTGACATATTTGATATGATTATTGACGATGACATAGATGTGCTTATCTTAACTGAAACGTGGCTAAGGCTCACGGGTGATGAAGCTAAGATAGCTGAAATGACACCAGTGTCCCATTCTCTCCTCCACTGCCCTAGACTCGATGCAAGTGGAGGTGGAATCGCAATTCTCTACAGAAAATCCCTCACTGTTCGTCGTAGTGACTCAGGAAACAGTTCTAAATCCTTTGAGAACATGAATGTTGTGATAACTTCTGGACAGGCTACCTTTAGCCTGGTGTGTATTTACCGACCTCCACCCTCTGCGAAAAACAAACTGAAAAACAATGACTTTCTTCCAGAGTTATCTACCCTCTTCGCAACACACTCCAAAAAGTATACCGTAATTCTTGGCGACTTTAATGTGCACTTCAACACTCGCGAGAAGTACGAGGTCAAGAAATACATTCAGCTACTGAATACGTATTCCCTTACCCAGCATGTGTCTGTCGCCACACACAAATCTGGCAACATTCTTGACTGGATTATCACACACAGCAGCTGCAATATTATCAAAGATGTCGAAGTCATCGATTGCCAGATGTCTGTCCACTTCAATGTCTTCTTTGCTATTGACTTAATTAAGCCAAACAACAAGCATTCAATCTTGATGTGTCGAAACATCAAGAAGATTCAGCCAGATAGTTTCAGACTTGACTTGGTTAATTCAAACCTCCTCACTGATCCTCCCCCTGATGTTGAGGACCATGTTGAGCTCTTCCATGACACCCTCACATCTCTTCTAGACAAACATGCTCCGGCAGTTGAGAAGAATGTGATACTCCGTCCTCATGCTCCATAGTATGACGAGTCCATTCGTCGCTCTAAGACACAACGTCGCAGAGCAGAACGTCAGTGGCGTAAGACACGCCTGGAAATTCACAGGCAGATATATCAACAGTGCCGAAATGCTACCACCTCTTTAATCATCTCCGCTAAAAGGAAATATTGTCTTCACAGTATACAGAATAGTATGGGGAACCTGCTTCCCCTTTACAGGTTTATGAATAAACTGCTTGGTAAAGGAGGTGATGGTGATAGAGTACCTCCCGGACAAAGTCACATGGAACTCGCAGACTCCTTCAACTCATTTTTCATTTCAAAGATTGATACCATTCGACAAGGACTTTCAGCCAAGGAAGTTGATAGGTGTTTCAGTGAACCTCTCATCACAGGCGATCCACTAACACAGTTTGCGCCCTTCACCCCCAAGGACATTGAATCAATTATCCGCTCTTCAAAGCCTACCACTTGCGACTCCAACCCCATACCAACTAAACTTCTGTTTCAATATCTTGACTTCTTGCTGCCAAGCATTACCAAAATTGTCAACTCAAGTTTGGAGAGTAGTGTATTTCCATCCAGATTCAAACATGCTGTAGTCAAACCTCTGCTAAAGAAACCTGATCTTGACTCTCAGAATCTTCAGAACTTTCGACCTGTCTCAAATTTATCCTTCATCTCCAAGATAATTGAGAAGGCCGTGCATGTCAGACTCAAAGTCCATCTCTCTAAACATATTCTGCTTGATGAATTCCAGTCAGCGTATCGGCAATACTATAGTACGGAGACTGCCTTACTGCAAGTGACGAATGAGCTTCGTTGTGCTGTCGACGATGGTATGATTGCTGCTCTAGTGTTGTTGGACCTCTCTGCAGCCTTCGACACAATCGATCACCATAGACTCTTGTCCAGGCTCACACAACAGTACGGACTTGAAGGTCATGCCCTTCAATGGGTGACGTCTTATCTGTCTGACCGACAGCAATCTGTTGTTGTTGGCACTGAGAGATCAAAAGGCACTGTAATCACTTGTGGGGTGCCACAGGGATCAGTCCTTGGTCCAGTCCTGTTTGTGTTGTATACCGGATATGTCGGAAGGATTACTACAGACCACACAGTTTCTCATCATGCCTACGCTGATGACACCCAGCTCCTGAAAGCATTTCATCTGTCAGATCTATCTACGTCTCTTCAGTGCATCGCTGAATGTACGCAGGACATCAAGTGCTGGATGACAGGAAACATGCTTCAAATTAATGACACAAAAACAGAAGCAGTTCTCATTGGTACAAAGCAACAACTCAGCAAGGTCAAAACCGACACCCTTACAGTCGCAGACTCTGACGTCAGATTCTCTGATGTGGTTAAGGACTTGGGTGTCCACATCGACTCTTCCTTGACTCTGGATGCTCATGTTAACCGTCTGAGCAGGACCTGCTACTTTCACCTAAGATCCATTGGTAACATTCGGCAATACCTGACAACTGCTGCAACTCAAGCCCTTGTTCGAGCTCTTGTTACATCTAGGCTTGATTACTGTAACAGCATCCTTTCAGGCCTCAGTTATAAACTCCTTGATAAGCTTCAGAAGATCCAAAATACTTCCGCCCGCATCATCAGCAAGACTTCTAAACGTTCCCATATAACACCAGTGTTGAAAGAACTGCATTGGCTACCAGACCGACTGGTCATCCCATCCTACAAACTGAAATCCTTTGGACACCGATCATTCTCTTACTCCGCGCCTGTGCTCTGGAACTCTCTCCCATGTGCCCTTAAAAACCCTGCCACAATTGACATTTTAAGTCTAGACTTAAAACCCACCTTTTCTCAGTATATTATGTATAACTTCATCTGTAAATACTCCAGTGTAAATATTTTGTAGCGCTTTGAGCATGCCTTAGGGTGTGGAAGGGGCGCATTATAAATATGCATTTATTATTATTATTTATTATTTGAATACATTACAATGGAAATACACTGCAGGTTTAAAAGTGTGATATTCAGACATCTAGTGCCAGACTTAAATTACCGATTGCAAAACGTCAACAAAACGACAAAACATCGCCTCTCTTCGAACGGCCATTTTGCGATTCATTATTTCAATATAAGCAGTCATGGCTATCCCCGGTGTATCATGGAATCACAGAACAAATATTCCAGGACGTAACGCTTGATATATCATCGTTAAGGGAAACCATATACTGTCCATGCACCAGCGTGAACGTTACGGGTGTATATGTAGGCTAAACCGGTAAACTGTCTGTGTAAAGGTGACGCGTACAACTGCCATCGCGCATAGGACATCTGCGGTCAGTTTAAGTTTGGGCCGTCCGGATCAGCGCACCTAGTGGATTAGTGAAGGGAAGATAAATTTTAAAAGATCGCCCATTCCATTCACGGTTAATGAATTCAAACTGAAAAGGTTGTCATTTCATAAAGAGGAATTATGAGTTGGTACAAGTGGAGATGTTTATATTTGTTTATCATTTCTTTAATTTAATAATGTGAATGATTCGCCCTTAACCTAACCAAAACCCTGGAGTTACACTGTTCATGTTTATATTTCAAACCAAAATAATAATCTATTCAGTTACAACATTTCAACAAAGAGGAGCATCTCAGCTGTTAACACACAGTTAGTACACAGCCTTTTATCTTGCAGACACTCGGTCTTGATGAACAGATATCTCTATGAAATTGAACCATGGGTTTTAATACCTCTGCTATAACAGATGTATTTGGAATGTATCCATATATAATATTGAAAGGCAAAACATTTTTTGAAAGGCGAAAACTTCTCTGTGGCTTGTATTTATAAAGCTTATGTGCTATGTATAGTTTTCTGAACAACAGATTCCCTGTTTTAGCCTCGACGACTCACCCTAGTGAGGATCCGAGCCCGAGCAAGATGGTTCCATCAGTGCCAGTGGAGACACAAGACTCTGATCCAATCGGTAGGTGGGAGAACCCAGCAGGCAAGAAGCTCAGTCCTTAAGAGATGAATCTCACATATCTTATCGACCGACGTTCATGTTGTCAATGACAGGATTTCATGAACGTGATAATTATGCTGATGTCGCCATCAGACAGCCGGAAAACTGCTGAGTGTGGCGTAAACAGCAAAGAAAACACTGTCTGTGACAGACACCAACGTATGTTATTACCCTAATAAATACCAAACAACAGTTGTACCGACAATATCAACTTGTAATGTCTGATGTACATACTTTACTTTGTGCTGCAGCGACTCCATCACAGGCAGACAGCGACCTCTACTCCGCCAGCATGAACGGTGACCTGGAGGCTGTGAGGCGGATCTTGTCAGCGGGTCACGTGAACATCAACACTAGAAGAGGATGGGGCTGGACACCGGTGATGGCGGCAGCACGGTATGGACACAGGGATGTGGTGGAGTTCCTTGTGGGTAGAGGGGCTGATGTGTCACTGGTGAACAGGGACGGTAACAACATCCTTCACTTGGCCTGTTATGGTGGAGACTTGGAGACTGTGAAGCTAATCCTGTCACTGAACGTGGTGGACGTCAACAGTAGAGGAGGACGGTACAGCAGGACACCAGTGATGGAGGCAGCAGTGTATGGATACAGAGATATGGTGGAGCTCCTTGTGGGTAAAGGTGCTGATGTGTCACTGGTGGACAATAGGGGTTACAACATAATTCACTACGCCAGTCTGTATGGACACCTGGAGACCGTGAAGCTGATCCTGTCACTGAACGTGGTGGACATCAACGCCAGGACCAACTACGGGGACACAGCGGCTGACATGGCGAAACGCTGGCGACATCAGAAAATGGTGGATTTCCTGGTGTCACGTGGGGCTCACTGAAGTCAGTGTAGTGTTGGTGTAGACAGAAACGCAGCCCATGTCGTTACTGACACGAACGTGGTTTGTGCCGTTCATGTGGTCGTGTGTCAGCGTTCACGATTCAGGTGATTTCCTTTTTTCTTTCTGAATATAAATAAAACATGTATTTTCAGACATTTTGTCATTTGTTGTGTTTGGAGCCTCGCAAGATCAGGTAAGAAAATTGTGAAGTGAGTGTAAGGTGAGTGTTAATGTTGTTCTGAGCATATCGCGAATTGTGAAACAGACCAAAACTGTTTGTTTACATGTCGCTGCTCTCAGTGACCTCAGACTGAGCCGAGCCGACGTGGCGCCATTTGTGCAGTGACAGTGACGTCACACTGCTGGTGTCGTCACAGATATATACTGAGGCGCCTGGCCGTCTTCTCAGCCAGATAGGACATAGAGCTGCGCAATACTGGCTTCGTGCCATACAACATAAGCAGTTTTTGTGGTACCATGCGGTCGGTATCGTTTATCAAAGGAAGAATGAACATCTGTAGCTGATTACTGCTGACATTTAACCCTTTTGGTGCCACAGGGAGATGAACCCTTTCTGCAGTGACTAAACACACAGTATACACAATGAAACCTATTACAATCATCACCCAAATCATCTCAGCTTTATTAATCCAATGGAAGCCAGAAAGACAAATATTTCCTCTAGTACTTTCTTTCTCGATATAACATACTGATATTTAGGCAAAGCACAATTACTGAAATGCCCGGTAAGAATTCCAGACTTCGTAAATCTTGCCATTTTTTAGACATTAAGAATTCACCATTCGTGGTATCGTTTACTGCATGTTGTAAATATCGGATAATTACACGTTGAACTGAATTGAAAAATTGTCTATTGGTGATCACTGGTACATGTATGTGTTTTGTTTTATCAAATCAATAATGATTATTCTGAAACCTCGCCTTAACTCTGAAAAATGTCCCCAGTTCTGTTTCTTGAAATAATCCATTGTTATTTTAGACAAAGCAGAATTGCTGAAATGGCCCCTGAAAATTAGGTACATATTATATTTTTCCATTTTGTACTCATTACAAGGTATCGTTTACTTACATTTTTTAACTGAATTTGAAAACTGGCGTGAGTGAGGTTAGTTTTACGCCGCTATATGGCGACGGTCTGTAAATAATCGAGTCTGGACCAGACAGTCCAAGGATCAACAGCATGAGCATCGATCTGCGCAATCGGGATACAATGACATGTGTCAGCCAAGTAATTGAGCCTGAGACCCGACCCTTTTAGTCGCCTCTTACGACAAGCAGGGGTGACTTCAAAAATAACCTTTTAGTGACCACTCGTTGTACGTTTCACATAAGCTGGCCATGAGACGCTTATTACATCACATATGTTGAACACTCAGCTGCAACACACACGTCCCTGAATTCCTCATGGATTTTTAAATCAAAAGACTAATGGTCTTTGTCTCCAGTTCAAATAGTGTTGATGATATTTACCACTGTTTTTTTCATTAGGACAGATTTGTATGAAGTCAGGAAAGTGAATGTTGTGCGAGAATAGCCCTGGATCTACCGACGGCTATAAAATTACACAGAAATGTAGAATATTAAATTTCCTGTTCGATGGTGTAAATTCAAACACGAAATGTAAATACTATGGCGTCTTGGAAAATAGACACTGCTGCCTCTTATCCGGAACGTTGTCATGCATTAAAGAACACAGCAAATTTCTCCGCTATTTATCGTTCACAAATGAAAGCATTGTGCGACGTTATTTTGTCCATCTTTACAGAAAGTGTGAGCGAAGATAATACTGTCTGATATCTGAACGACATGGGTACATATCAACTGAATTTTGTGTGCTTATGTTTATATACATTCAATATATATAATGGCTTTTAATAAATGTCACATGCATATAGTAAATGTAATGTACTACTGAAAACAAAACCACACCACGCCATGTCTTGTTTTATGTTTTTTTGCAACATCGAAGAAAGACCACATTAGCATGTCGACTGGTGCATATCTCATCTAATTTCCGTTAATTATGGAAAAGATGCAATTTTATCCGGCAATCGACAGAACATAAAATGACTGGATTAATTAGACACTGTATCTTAATTTCGACAATACGCTTCTCACCGTTTAGCATCATTTTAACATAAGTGAAAACGAGTATATCAAAACACACGAATATATCTTTTTGAGTAAGTTAAGATTATGTCACATCACAGCAATATCTCAGCCATATCGTGACTAAAACCAGTCATAATTTTATAATAAATAAAGGTAAATAACATTAAAAACTGTCAGCGAAGGACAGTAAAAACATCTAGAACATCTAGAGGAAGGAGTTGGTGGAAAGAATTCTATGCTACAATCTGTACTGGAACCCCTTGATTAATGTTTATTGTGTGGCTTGGAAGTTTGTTTCATAGATCTTGACACATTCAACATCCGAATCAATCTGGTTTTGTCATTTATGCTGAGACTGAACTTGAACTTGTGTCAATAAAACATAGTACTATATTTTCTACCCTCTTGTCGCAGACAGAAGCTGGGAAACACCTTTTAGTAAACCATAGAGAAAGTACTTTATATTTTTCTTGATATTCGGGTTAAGGAACAAAGGTTCGGAAAACAAATCCTTAAAGGAGTCTACAGAAATGGTAACCCCCCTTGAGGATCATGGTTTATAGTTTTTAATAGCAATCTGGTAGAAATGTAGTGATAAAACGAGAGTGAACCGTACAGTGTTTATAACAGACGCGCGTACCTCACCAATCAGTATGGATCATCCTTAATCGTCTGTAAAACGACATGAACAAAGTGAATGGAGAAGACAATTCCTTTGAAACGTGTGTGCATATAGATTTCATGAAACATATAAATCATTTGCTTGGATTGATGTTGCCATATTTACTTATAAGGTTAGAATAAAGTCCTGTGCATTAACCTATTTTTTTTAAACACGAACATTTGGGTATTGCACATCATAGGAACTAAAACACGTGTTACAGTTATGCTTACATCTGACACTTGTGTACAGGTTAGAAATATGGTGTACAATGCTAAATGTGTAATTGTCTTATGTAAGTATTTTTCAAACGGACAAAAAAATTTCAAAGGATGAAAAACGTATAGCCTATATCCATGTATGGCATGATATTGAATAAGATAATAAATGTAGATAATGAAATTAGTTTCGTGAAAAGATACGCGAAATATACATTACCATACTGAAACAGTAGGCAGCATGATAGTGTGATTGTGTATACTCTTACTCAACAGACCTTCACCTTAAACAAATTGCCAAATATACTGAACAACATTAGAAACGCACCACACTACAATGCACTGAACAAAATGTGAAAATACAGGATGGAATGAATGAATGATCAATTATGATAGGGATCGCAACAAGTAAAACACACATGGTGGTTTGAACTGTTGCATCAAAACAAAGTCACATTTGTGACTCGATATCATGAAAATCATGACATGCACGTGATTTTAAAACGTTTGACGTAATAACCACAAATGGTATAAAAAACCACCATTGCCAAACTGTTAATCACCAGTTTGAGTGAGAATTCAACCGTGATTGACCCTATTTACCATGTCACGTTTGACACCGGAACGAGAAAGGGCAGTGGGTTACTTGAATGCCCGATGGTCGACTCGGGATGTGACGTAAACATTCAACTACCATTATTCCTCAATTGTCAGACTCAGCCAAGGCTTGCAGCAGACTGTAAGTACCCGTGACCGTCAACGTCCTTGACAACAACGTGTCACCATGCCCAGACAAGACGACACATTGTGTTGTCCCACTTACGGAACAGAACCCAGACTGCTACACGTACAGCTTTGACAATACAGGGGCAACGTGGAAACATCAGCGACCAAACCGTACGGCGCCGTTTACACCAGTATGGCCTCAATGCTCGGCGTCCCTACAATGACCCCATCTTAACACCCAGACACCGATGAAAAGATTTCCGCCCGTAGAAAAGCTATCCTAACCCTAACCCTAAACCTATACAATGCTGAATCTAAACCCTAAACCCTTGAAATAATCATAATAATTAGAATAATATAGGACAAACTTTATGGATAACAACTTCACCAATAAAAAAGAAGTTGTTATCCATAAAGTTTGTCCTATATTGTACTTCCCAACTTCTAAAATGCCACTCAAAGAAGTTATAATTAGAATACTTTTCAAGGGGGAGTTACGGGCCGAACTCTTACCACACGGGCCTCATATTGTGTACGTTAGTACGACGTATTTGAAACGTTCTCGGTTTCAGTCAACGTCTTAATGGCAATGTAACAGCATCTTTTCGCAATGATTTAATATTACATTTACTCCTTATATGTTAGAAATGATATCCCAGATTCAATGATTGTATATATTTATCTGTGTTTACATGTTAATCCAGAAATTGGCACTTATTCTCTAAACATGTGTTTCAGGGTGTCTGGCAGTAAAGGAATATATCTCACAAGCCGTAAACAGTGTCTGGTCTTCAGTATAGCCAAACACAACCCGGTTACATTGGGATTACTGAGTACTTGGCACCGGATAATTCTCTCAATATGTAGTTATCCGCCATGTGGTTTGTTATGATGCAACGTGTACGCACACTACTGGTGGAGCATGTGTTTCCCCGAGCTGGCATTCTGCCAAACACTTATGTCGGGCAATATTAACGCCGTTTACCTGGCGGCGAGGTAGTCGTCTTACTAGCTGCGTGGTGCCTTTACACTTGTAAAATGGAGCTATCAACACTTACTTTCTTCTCTCTCGTGCTGTGTAGTATAACAGACGTACATGCTGGTGCCAGGCGTAAAGCCTTGGCTAAACGGGTGGGCCTGATGGAAGAGGAGATCATTTTATTGAAACGTACAACTTTTACTGAGACTAAAATGATTGAAAACTTTGAAGAGTTGAAGTCGTCACTGAAAGAAGAACTGACCAAAACATTCGTTCCTCCCTTGATCAAGCGCTTAGTCAAACAAGCTATTGCCGACATCATGAAAAGAGACTACATTGGGAATACCATCTGCGCACATATGGTCAAAGAAGTTCAAAGCCTGAAAGCAACCGTAGAAAGCGCAACGACACAGCTTAAAAACGTAACTCAAGAGTTGAGACATGTTCAACGAGAAAGAGACACTTACCGAGAAAGTCTCGAAGAAGTACATGGCGAGTTAACCAAAGACATTCGTGCGTTACAGCTGCAGTTGAATGAGACTGCAGCTGACCTGCGTGATGCAAGGATGCTGAAATCTGAACTGAATCAGACCAATGCTGATATTTTTGAAACAAAACAAAAAGTCACTGGTCTTACGGAGAACTTGATGACACTGAATATGACTTGTTGTTGGACGAAGAAAGAGATTAAGGAGGAGGATGTTAATGAAAGTTCGCTGACAACATCGTCATTGTCGCAGGTGTCATTGACCACTTCGACCTCGACGTATCCCGGAAGTACAGCAGGTGAGAGTTTTAGCAAATTTCAGTCGCTTAATTAACGTTCTATCTTGATATTCCAACCAGAAGATATGACAATAACATTATTTTTTTTAAAATTTAGCCAATGTTTACAGTCATACTGCATACGTGCTAAATATGCATCTTTTGAAACAGTATAAGAGATAAACTTTCTGTGTTATTATATTGTGAAAACGTTTCATTTCTGAATATGACAGTTTTAAGCTACCCTTATTTCAAACGCTTATTTACCAATAAAAAGTGTGAACAAACAGACTATGTCATTACAGGACATGTCAACAAAGGGTTTCTTGGGCATGTGAACATAATGTTTATTAGGCATGGCAACATAATGTTTATTGGGCATGGCAACATAATGTTTATTAGGCATGGCAACATAATGTTTATTAGGCACGGCAACATAGGGTTTATTAGGCGTGGAAACATAATGTTTATTGGCGTATGAACATAATGTTGATTGGACATATACACTAAACGCCAAAAGAAACGTAACCCTCCTTCCTTAATGAATTTCTTAAAACCTACTCAAGTAAGGATGAAACTTTCTGCTGCATATGGTGACCCCAGTCTGTCGGTAGCGCTGAATAAGTCTTATCACCGTGATACGGTGGCATACGAGGGCGTTGGCAACAACATTGTATGTCGACCTCATCTGCAACATCCTCTCTTTGGCTGGCTCTTTCGCTCTCTTCAGCTGTTACTCGTGGCATATTTCTCGTACTTGTGTATCATATCATGCATTCTAGGCTCTCTTCATACCCTATAGAATCATTCTACACGTGAGATTGATGCAAATACTGCATGAATATTGCTACGTTTGGCGATTGATATAGCTATGTGTAAACAGAAAATGGAAAAATACTACTTTGCACTCGAAAATGTTAACAGAGAAAATTGTAGGTGTTCCTAAACACTTTTCACAATATCAAAGACACGTTGTACTTGTTTTCACTAGTGCAAATCAGCAGAAAATGTTTTAAAAGACTGAAATCATAGGAATGATTCTCGTACAATTTCACACACTCTACAACAGTTGTTCCCTGTTTTAATAGTTTAAAAATGGGGACTTTAAATGGTTTATCTTTGTCTCAAAGCAGAATTGTATTTCAACCTTTCTTTGTACATCTAAATCACTGCTATTGGTTTATTTTGGCATGGTCGAAAATAGGACTCTCCTGAAAAAGTTGCATTTCACCTAAATATGAATGCATTTATGAAATGCCTTTTGTGATTTGCATAAAGCTGTGTTGTTAAGCTTTCATGTAAACTAATACCATCTAACATAGCTTTGATAGTCTTAAAGTAATTCATAAAGGTAGGAGGGTAACGTATCTTTTGGCGCTTAGTGTATTTCAGTGTGTGTGTGTGTACTTATAGGTTATTTGGTATCTCAACTTAGATTGCATTTGAACGTAAGGTTAGGAGGACATGCCAATGGTGCTGGCTTTGTCTTACATCACTACAAAGTTAATCCTATCTAATTGGCTTCCTATTATGTTGTTATCTTTGTACATTAACACACCCCACCCCCAGTCTTGCCTTTGTCATTACAATGCATTGTTATCTGTGTACATTCTCCCACCTTGCATGTTGTAAACATGTTTAATCTATATATATTCACTCTGTGCACCGACTCAGCATTCACCAGATGAAGGAGCAAGAGTTAGCTCTGAAACGTCGTATAAAGAATACAAGAAGTTATTATCCATAAAACGTGTCCTGCATTCATACACGTCTGCACTTTGCACAACAGACTCTTTCAATGTTGTATCTGGTGTTATAAGCTCAATGTAAGTAGTCAATGATTTGTTTGACAGAATGATCGCAGCTAATGACATCCAAACCTCCGAAGTCTAGGGACATCCAGATATAACGTGTATTAAAAGGAGACATTTATATTAGACCCAAAATTGCGTCAAAGTGCTTCGACATATCTGGTGAATACAAAGTTAGGGTTCTATAATGAAGCTTGTTACTTATAAAGTATGTTGAAAAAACTTTTCTTGTTAAATCGCTTACACATTAATTATTTAGAACCACGGCGGGGAACACCAGAAATGGGCTTCACATGTTTTACCAATGTGGGGAATCGAACTCGGGTCTTCGGCGTGACGAGCGGATGCTTTAACCACTAGACTACCCCACCTCCCCTAACAGTAATGCACAGGAGGAAGCAGGACAAATAGACAAAATACATGTGGTACAAGGATAAAAACAGTGCATTCATTACAAAGGTCACACTTTCACACTTGGTAACACTTTTTCAAAAAGCAGCTGATCACACACACACACACACACACACACAAAATTTTAACATATATGATGATCAACAAACGAGAACACAACCACCTTGGTAGGATTCGGAATAAGAAAACATTAACATGACAAAATAGACAGCAGTCAGAGCTCATATAGATCACAATACAGACTTTAAAATCTTCAGACAGTTACAAACACTCTTCAAATGTACATTCAAATAAAAAAGATTACAGTTCCAAAACAAACCGAAAGATAAATTACTAGCAGCAAAGCATTAACCTTGAATTATTTTGGAAAACACTTTCAAACAATATCACAATCGTGTCAATAATGGATAGATCCCTTCTCAAATCTTTTATGCATTATACTCCTCAAACACACAATCACATTTACCTCCACCTTTACAACCTACAAGCAACACACATTCTTCCTTTGCCAACTATTCTCTCTTTGCCAAATAGTAAAACCCCTGATCCATATGTAATTGCACATGAATTTCTAAAGGAGTCGAGAAGTTTCATTGTCCCTATTCTCATTGTTCTTTTAATACACTTTATGCCTTTGGCTATTTCTCTCCCATTCGGGGTAAGGACATATTTTGCCCTTTGTTAAAATCTGGTGACAAGAACGACCCCTATAATTACTGTGGTATATCATCCATTGACTCCCTTTGTTATTTACATCAATTCTAAATAAAGATTAAAATTTGGTCCGATTTAAATAATGTCATTTATGAATATCAGTCTGGTTTCAAGGAAAATTATTCCACAATACTTCGCATTTTTCAGGCTATCATACAGAAATATTTATGCAAGAAACAGTAGATATTATTGATTTTTCAAAAGCTTTCGAGACACTAAAACATGATGAACCTTTACTCCGTAAGGTTGGGTTAGAGGGGATGATATTATACTATCATTACCTTTATGCCTGTGTAAGAACCCCTGATGGGCTTTCTAAACGGTTTCCTTGTAATGTGGGTACCCGTCAGGGATGTTTTCTTAGCCCTCAAATATTTATAATATTTATGAATGATTGATGTACAATTAAGCAACATGAAGGTGGTAAGGGAATGTTTATTTCCGCTGTTTTTAATGTGTATGACCTTGCTAATGCATATTCAACTGCAGAAGAAAGATAAATGCCCTTAAATTATTTTGTAAAGAAACAGGAATGAAAGTAAGTCTTTAGAAAACTAAAGTTTTGTTTTCAGAAGTGGAGGGCCTTGATCTTATGAAAAGTGACGTTTTAATTTTACACCAAAACTTGTTTGGTCCAGAGCAAAATAATGTTTAGCATTTCAAGCCAGAGGGTCAATTTTATCAGTTGATCATTTTCAAAAGAAATGTGGGGACATTAATTGTACAGATTTATACCAAAAACATGATGTATTCACTGATCGCACCAATTTTATGCTATGGCTCTGAAATATGGGGAACTTCTTTTTTTTTAAAGTTTTGAATCTGTACAGCTTGATTTTCGTGAATAAAAGTATCTTAAAATACATAGGTCATATTGTAATTCTATGGGCCTGACTGAATGTGGCAACTTCCCCATGACAGATTACCCTTTCAAAGTTACCTTATGCTTAAGTCATTCGATGATAGTGGTACAACAACATGGGCATCCAAAGTTACAAAGTATTCTTGTATATTCTGCTTTTGGATAGCTTGGTTTCGTCAAGATGTTGGTGATGTAAAAAATGTTTATAAGCTTATTTAAACAAATATTATCAGATATTTTAAAACAGTCTTGTACACTTCCTTGAGTAATTCCTCCAAATGTACTGGTAACTATTATCAGTATTTTAAGTAAGTATTAAATGTTGAATGTTATTTACCGTTTAACCTTTCTACCCATTTAATAGCTCCTTTGGTACAAATTAGGTGTAGTGATTTTAAGATAGTTGTAGAAATGGCATTATATCAACACTGACTATAATAAAAAGATTCTGTACATCATGTAAATGTAAAGGTCTAATCTATATTGAAGATGAATTCCATGTATTGTTTATTTGTGAATCCTATTCACAAGTGAGAGAGAAGTATGTTACAAAGTTTGTTTAAAAAAACTTACATTTTATATTTTGTAGCTAAACTTATATTCATACAGACTTAGAATGCTATTCACTCGGACAGCCGACATTTCGATCTTAACCACCACACACTGCCACGTGTTTGTACCCTTGTTGTTTATCAAAGCACGTTGCCTCCAACAACAAGTACGGCTGTGTCAGCTACAGTTTCCGCCTCAGATAGTAGTGTTAGAATTACACTTCCGCCGTCGCTCGGTATGCTGACATTTTGTGAGTGTTTCACAGAGTTTGCCTGACAGAAATTACAACTGTGTTGCACAAACACCGAATAAAGTTACCATGCTGCCCTTCACACTGCGTGGTAAACACTGAAGTTTAGTCTGCTTGACATTAGAATTTACGGAATTGACTAAAATACCATGTACACTAAACAGGCAGGGTGGGATGGGGACATTAAGGAAAGTCAGTTTTGAATTCCAGTCACGGTTAATGAATTCAAACTAAACAGTCGGTCATTCCATAAATAGAATGATGAGTATATAAAGTCCATAAAGAGAAATTATGAGTAGGTATAAGTGCATGTGTTTTTGTTTGTTTGTCTGTTTTATCTTTCAGTGTTAGAATGTGAATATTCATGTATGGTTATATATAAAATTTGAAGTCCCCGTAGAATATACTCGCTTCAAACCTAACCCTAACCATGTAGGCGAACAGATTCTTTAGTTACACCGTTCATGTCTATATTTCAAAACGAAATAACAATCTATTCACTTACAACATTTCAACCTTGAAGAGCATCTCAGCTTTTAACACAGACAGTGCATAGCTTATTACATTTTCAAATTCAAACTGTAATAATAACTTTAGGAAGTATTCTTGGTTTTTTCCTGCAGAGATACACGGTCTTGATGAACAGGTATCTGAATCAAATCAAACCATATATATTAAATACCTCTGCTATAACATGTATTTGGAATTTATCCATACATAATATTGAAAGGCAAAATATGAAAGGTGAAAACTGAGGCCAATAGTAGAAATGCTTATGTGCTGTGTACAGTTTTCTGATCAACATATTCACTGTTTAAGCCTCGACTGACCCGAGCCCGAGCAGAGCGGTTCCACCAACGCCAGTGGCAACACAAGACTCTGATCTACACGGTAGGTAGGAGAACCCAGCAGGCAAGAAGCTCAGTCTTTGACGTGGAGATTCTGACTTGAGGGATAGGTCTCACCTATGGTATCGATCGACGTTCATGTTGTGAATCACTGGATTTCAAACTGTAAAAACTAGATTTAGGAAGTGTTACTTTTTTCCTGCATAGACGCGTGGTCTCGATGAAAAGTTATCTCAATCGAATTGAACCATATATATTTAATACTTATTCCATAAGAGATGTATTTAGAATTTAATCATACATAATATTGAAAGGCAAAACATATGTTGAAAGGCGAAAACTGAGGCCAGTAGTCATAATGTGTGTACAGTTTTCTGAATAAAATATTCCCTGTTTCAGCCTCGACTGACCCGAGCCCGAGCAGCACGGTTCCACCAACGCCAGTGACGACACAAGTCTCTGATCTACACGGTAGGTGGGAGAACCCAGCAGGCCGGAAGCTGAGTCCTTAATTCTTCCTGCATTTAACACGCTGATGGACATACCTGTAGAGATTCTGACCTGAGGGATGAGTCTCACCTATGGTATTGATCGACGTATATTTTGTCAATCACAGGATTTCACGAACAAGATATTTGTGAGGTCGCCACCTAACAGTTGGAATACTGCTGAGTGTGGCTATAAATAACAAACAAAACACTGTGACATAAACCAGCGTTATATCTTTTGACCCTAACAAATACCAAACAACAGTTGTACTGACACTATCAACTTGTAAAGTTCAACAAACATCATCTTTCTCCAGGCGTACACAAGATATTGCGACAACTTCTGGTTCTAACAGAGAGTTGTGTATAAACACACCATCCATAATTCCAGAAACCACATGTTGACATTCCCTCCATGTTGTATTGTTGTCAGCCATGATGGAATTGTTTAAATGATGTAGCAATGTCCGAGTCACGTCTCACATGATGAAAACATTGTAGATGTGTGACGAAGATGTCTGATGTACACAGTTTACTTTGTGTTGCAGCGACTCTATCACCAGCAGTCCGCGACCTCTTCTCCGCCACCTGGTTAGGTGACCTGGAGAGAGTGAAGCGGATCCTGTCAGCGGGTCAAGTGGACATCAACACTAGAAAAGGACGGTGGAACTGGACACCGGTGATGTCGGCAGCACGGTGGGGACACAAAGCTTTGGTGGAGCTCTTTGTGGCTAGAGGGGCTGATGTGTCACTGGTGGACGTAGAAGGTGACAACGTCCTTCACTGGGCCAGTATGGGTGGAGACCTGGAGATCGTGAAGCTGATCCTGTCACAGAGCGTGTTGGACATCAATGCCAGGGACAACAACGGGAGGACAGCGGTCTACTGGGCGAGAGACTTTGAACATCAGCAAGTGGTGGATCTCCTGGTGTCACTTGGTGCTCACTGAAGTCAGTGTTGGTGTGGACAGAGACGGAGCACATGGTGATTTCCTTTTATTCTTTCTGCATATAAATAAACTTGTTGAATGTATTTTCAGACATTTTGTCATTTGTTTATTGTGTTTGGAACCTCGCGTGATCAGGTAAGAAAATTGTGAAATGAGTGTAATCATAAACGGTGAGTGATTGTACGTAAACGTCGGCGTCTTAACATTATTCTGTGTTAAATTTGTTCTGAGAGTATCGCGAAATGTGAAACAGACAACAACAAACTGTTTGTTTACATGTCGCTGCACTCTGTGACCTCCGACTGAGGTGCCATTTGTACAGTGGCAATGACGTGACACCGCTGGTGACGTCACAAATAACACTTTCTGCAGTGACAAAATCAAACTTATAACAATCATCGCCCAAATCATCTCAGCTTTATTAATCCAATCAAGGACGTCTATTCACTGTCTTTTCGATAGGTATTCAACCATGCAGTTTCCCATCCGGCACTCTCATTGCAGTCTTTTCTGAAAATTGCAGTAAAAAAATACAATGACGTCACATACAAATAATATTTGTTTTTACAAATATTATGTTAATAATAATATACCTCAAAGAATAGAAATAAATATAATTATCACCTATTGAAACCATTCAGAGAGAAAACAACTTAAGCTTTAAAAATATTGACACAGATATAAAAAATGGATGGAGTTTACGACGTCATGACAGAACTGTTTGTTACGTGGTCAGTGTGACCTGCCAAGTAACTATACTGAGTCCCAAAAAAAATTCACAAAATGTAATCTGAAAAATAATGAATAATGAATGTGAAGTTTCTTTTTTTGACTCAGTATATCTCATATGTAAACATGGTAAACATATGGATGTTAGTGAGTGAGTGAGGTTCGTTTTACGCCGCACTCCGCAATATCCCAGCTATATGGCGGCGGTCTGTAAATAATCGAGTCTGGACCAGACAATCCAGTGATCAACAGCATGAGCATCGATCTGCGCAATTGGGAACCGATGACATTTGTCAACCAAGTCTGCGAAACTGACCACCCGATCCCGTTAGTCACCTCTTACGACAAGCATAGTCGCCTTTTATGGCAAGCACATGGGCTGCTGAAGACCTATTTTATCCCGGATCTTCACGGGTCACATATGGATGTTGATGGAGAGACGAAGGTGGGAGAGATGGAGGATAGGGGGTGGAGTTAGTTATTAACGTTGTTTATGCGGAGAGTGAACGGTGGTATTCATTTGCCCAAATAGTTGGCATATTAACCTTTGTGTAACGCCCGATGTGAAGGTGTGGAATTATATATAGTATTATTGAATTTTCTGTATATTTGTATAAAACAGTATGTATTCAAGATATATTGTAAAAGAACAAGAAAATATTTTTTTAATATCCTCAAACGTAAACAATATGTTACAACTACAATGGAATACCTCGGATATTGTCAAACTGTACTTATTGTTTGTGGCTACTCACATAGGAAATGAGTAGGAGCGGTCTGCAGCAACATGTTCAACAAACCTGGCCACGTGTTGACGTCGGTAAGTATGTATTGAGGGCAAACCTGGCCACGTGTTAACGTCCATAGGTATGTATCAAAGTAAACCTGGCCACGTTTCGACGTCCGTAAGTATGTATCAAAGGTAAACCCTGGCCACGTGTCGACGTCCGTAAGTATCTATCAAGGGCAAACCTGTGAACGTGTCGACGTCCGTAAGTATGTATAACAGGTACAGCTGCCAACGTGTTGACGTCCGCAAGTATCTTTCAAGGGCAAACCTGGCCACGTGTTGACGTCCGTAAGTATCTATCATGGGCAAACCTGGCCACGTGTTGACGTCCGTAAGTATGGATTAAGGGCAAACCTGGACACGTGTTGACGTCCGTAAGTATGGATTAAGGGCAAACCTGGCCATGTGTTGACATTGGTAAGTATGGATTAAGGGCAAACCTGGCCACGTGTTGACGTCCGTAAGTATGGACTAAGGGCAAATCTGGCCAAGTGTTGACGTCCGTAAGTATGCATAAAGGGAAAACTGTGGCCCCTGTTCACACTTGTAACACATGTTCGACGAAGATTTAAAGTCCTTCTGCCTTACGACTGCTCGCCCTCAGGACCGGTTTATCCAAAAATGGGAATGGCATTACACATTCAGATCACACCCTCAGATAACTACACGACACGGTTTGGCGCATCTGAGATGGAAAAAAGAACATATACAGATGAGAAAATGGTAGCGTATGAGCTTGGAGGGAATTTGTTTCAACTGAAAATGAAATGTTAGCGCTCATTGTTTTAAATATATCAGAATAGCAGTGGAACTTGTTAGTGTGTGAAGTCGGAAGGAATTTGTTTGAAAATCCAATGTTTTGAATATCGGTCCGTTTCTAGCTCCCTCCCTCCCTTGAACAGAACAGGAAACAGAAATTAATGACGGTAAGTGTCATCGGCTTGGGGGCTGTGCAGACACTTACTAGATCGAAAACCAAACGTAATAGCGGCAATATCCGCCTGACTTGAACTCTGGTTGAACACATAATACTGCTTGCCATTGATAGCCGAATTATCTTGTGTATCCTACATAAAATAACAGTGCAAACTCCCGTAGGCCTCCTTCACAACGATATACATACCGCCATTCCGACGTCATTTCCCAGGGTAACAGCTTTTTGTTCATTAATCACCCTTTTTTCAAAGAACCATTGGAATAATTAATGTTTTTAGATAATTGTGAGACATTGCTATAACACTGCGACTATGCTTTGACGAAAATGTTTTTTCTAAACCTCGTCGAAATGTTTGGAAAATGTTATATGTTTATTGGTGGGCTGTTGGTCCGGCGGTGTTCAACGATGCCGATATTAGTCCACGCCGATACCTTGTTACATGGGCTGACGACTTGCAAGTAAAAGCAGGAATACCGTTACATGCCACTGAAATCCTCACGTGACTTTGCCATCACAGCATCAGTAACAAAATACGTACCTATCAGCTCGTGGATTCTGCTTCCAGACCTTAAATAGTTCCTTGGCTTGTTGTCGGTACACTGGGTTATAGGATGAACACGCTGCGTTGTCAATGATCCTCCGGGCATACCTTCCATAGCATACCAACCCAGTTACGTCAACCAAAAGAACATGGCAACATACAGTGAATCGCCATGAGCACTGACTGGAAAACCCCCCACGACGATTGTAGTGCAAATAAGAAACATGATGTTACGCTCTAACATAACAGAGATTAACATGGTTTCAGTGGGCAATGTGTCACTGCCACTGAGGCTGAATACTGCTATGAATTTATATGTCAAAAATACTTTGGTAATAGTACATAAATTAACAGCAACAAACCCATTAGTCTGACTGGAAGAAATCCCCGCTCACAGCACAGACTTAATTCCTACTGTTACAGTACCGTAACAATATGTTTATTAAGCCGTGTGATATGGTGATGATAACAGTGATGCAGTAATGATAACACAAATACAGAGATGATAACAGTGATGCAGTCATGATAACAGTGATACATGGATGATAGCAGTGATACAGTCATGATGTTATAGTGATACATGGATGATAGCAGTGATACAGGGATGATGTTATAGTGATACAGTGATACAGTCATGATAACAGTGACACAGGGATGATAGCAGTGATACAGTCATGATAACAGTTATGATCACGGTTGTGATAGCAATGATAACACTCATACTGTGATGATAACAATGATACAGTGGTGATTATATCGATGGCAACAATGATGATAACGTTGATGATAACAGTGATACGATTATGATAACAGTGATGCAGTGATGATAACAGTTATACAGTGATGATAACAGTGATACAGTGATTATATCGATGGCAACAATGATGATAACGTTGATGATAACAGTGATACGATTATGATAACAGTGATGCAGTGATGATAACAGTTATACAGTGATGATAACAGTGATACAGTGATGATAATATCGATGGCAACAATGATGATAACAGTGATGATAACAGTGATACGATTATGGTAACAGTGATACAGTGATGATAACAGTTATACTGTGATGATAACAGTGATACAGTGATGATAATATCGATGGCAACAATGATGATAACGGTGATGATAACAGTGATACGATTATGGTAACAGTGATGCAGTGATGATAAAAGTTATACTGTGATGATAACAGTGATACAGTGGTGATAATATCGATGGCAACATGATGATAACGGTGATGATAACAGTGATACGATTGTGGTAACAGTGATGCAGTGATGATAACAGTTATACTGTGATGATAACAATGACGACGTCATGCTCATGATAAAGCCAGAGTCAAACACTCGTCATGCTGAAGTTCTAGCTAAAGTCAAACACTCGTCATGCTAATGGTGTAGCCAACGCCAGACAAGTGTCATGCTCAAGTTCTAGCCAAAGTCATGCAACCGTCATGCTCATGATGTAGCCAAATTCATAGACCCGTCATGATCATGATATAGCCTGAGTCATGCAACCGTCATGCTCATGATGTAGCCAAATTCATAGAACCGTCATGATCATGATATAGCCTGAGTCATGCAACCGTCATGCTCATGATGTAGCCAAATTCATACAACCGCCATGCTCGTGATATAGCCTGAGTCATGCAACCGTCATGCTCATGATATAGCTTGAGTCATACACTCGAAATGCTCTTGAAAGGACCAGTGTCATAAACTCGTCATGCTCTTAATAGGGCCAGTGTCATAAACTTGTCATACTCTTAATAGGGCCAGTGTCATCAACTCGTCATACTCACGATGTCGCCATTGTCATCAACTCGTCATACTCACGATATCGCCAATGTCACACTACCGTGATACTCATACTATAGCCAGTCACACACTCGTTAATCCAGCCTTGGTATATAGCTTACTGACTTCCGCTATAAATTGGACAATGTAATGTATTGCATGTAATGAATAAGGTCATTACAAAACTAGGATTATATTTAGTCATCAAGTCCAATTCCTCCAATGGCCCCATTGCTTAAAGATGTCATGCAGACGAGGTATTATTGATCTTGTTCAATGTGACT